TGTGACATAACAGACATAATGTATCACATAATGTCTACTAAATTTTATAACAGGAACCACCACATCAGTTTATCCTACAGTGACACTACTCTACTGCAACACTGTATCTGTAACACCACCATTTCCACTATACCCATTACAGCAGATAAAACTTTCAATATTCTATCAGTGGAATCTATAAGCACTACTTCTATTGATATTATTCAAAACCATCCACTACTTATTTATAAAGCAAAAGCTATCACAATTTCTAATAAATCTACTTGGTCATTGGAAAAGTCATGACATATTTTTCTGTTTTTTTTTTTTAATGCAAAAATGCATTATGACTTCTGATTATTCAGTAATAAGTCATACCATCACTTTTCCCTAACAAAAATGGCAACTTCACAATAACATCTTCCATTGCAACTATTCTTTTGATACCTAAAAATAAAATCTTAACATCATCTTTCCCATACCAGAACCTGTATCTCTCTTGGGACCATGGGTAATCTGTAGCTAATGTCACTACAAACATATAAGCCAATGACCACTAAACTAACCACTGCAGAACAAGACTTACTTAATGACCAGTTCACCTATCACCATAGTGATGATACATTTCACCCCCTAAACTACACTTAGAATTAAAAATACTACTTACTGGGACCAACAGTTAATGTAATGGTTATGTCGCTGGACTCCCACGTAGTCGACCGTGGTTCAAGTCCCGGACCTGGTGGCTTAAACTCACACTGGGCGCCTGTGCGTGCATGCCCAAGATCCCGAAAGGAGAATGGAGGAGAAGAATTGCAGCATGGTCATCCCCCCTGGGGGGTGATTTCTCACTTTCTGTCTCTCTGTCTCTCTCTGTCTGTCTGGCGAGCACACGTGCCCTATAGCAAAAACCTCTCAAAAAAAAAAAAAAAAGAAAAAATACTACTTACTAGACCTGAACAGTCAATGTGAAGTTCCCTTAATATTTTTGTGAAGGTTTAGGTAACACAATTTTTATTTCAATAAATCCAATTTATTTATTTATGTCAGATACCAATTATAATTAAATAAATAAACTACCAATGTGAATACAGTATTTTATTATTCCAACATTTTAGCATTTAATGTATAAATTTTATATGTAATAGGAAAAGGACACTCTAAATTGCATGGGTATGTTAAACATATTTATAGAGTAATGCATTTCATTTTCAAATTGTGTAAAATGATTTCCATTACAACATTTTCTCTTTAAATGTTTTGTTATTTTAGTAATATTTATTAATGTGTCTCATTTTTATCAGCTTTAAAGTTCATTTTCTGCTGTTTTTGCAATAATCTTATAAAGTCACTCAAGTACTTTGAGTAAACATTTATTATGTGCCTATCTGCTGATATACTAAAGAAAATTCAGAAAAAGAAAACTTACAAATTTGGGGTCTCTTACTTAGAATTCTTGATAATTTAGCAAGTTAAAATTAAAGACT